GGCGCGAAGTGGGTGTGGAACGAAGAAGCACAGGAGGCATTCCTGCGCCTGCGCCAAAGTTTTACGCGCAGCACTCATTTAGTACACCCACGAGAAGATGCGCCCTATACAATTTACACCGACGCCAGTAAATTGGAGATCAGCTCGATCCTGACCCAGGAGAGCGACTCAGGTGAAATTTTGATTGTTTCAACCGTTTCCAGGGTGTTGAGTTCCGTAGAACGGAGGTACTCCACCTGTGAACAGGAGCTGCTCGCTGTGGTTTACGCTATTCAGAAATTCATGATTTACGTGATAGGTCACTCCATCACAGTTTATTCTGACAATAAAGCATTGATATTTCTGAAGCGGTGTAATTTGACATCTGGCCGAGTCACGCGCTGGGTAATGCAATTGCAAGAGTATGACTTAAAAGCAGTTCATATTAAGGGCACCGATAAATTTTTGCAGACGCGCTGAGCCGCAACCCCATAGGGTTAAGCCAGGAAAGCCGCGACCTAGTGATGAAACCTAGAGAGTTATTCGTGGCAACGGTAGATATGGGTACCGACCGGACACTTATGAAAGAGTTAGGTAATCTGTCGCAGCACCAACTTTGTGACCGTACATTAAGGAAGATAAGGGAAGAATTGGAGAATAACCCAACAAAGCTAGAGGGAAGGTACGTGGTTAGAGACAAAATCCTGTACTGCAAAAACGACAGGACACATCCACACTGGAGGGCTATGCTCCCTAGCCAGTTAGAGCAGCGAGTGATTCGTTATGTACAGACTTTATTGGTGCATCAAGGTACCGATAAATGTATGCTACAAATAGCTCAAACATTCCACCTAAAATCCTTGGGGAGGAAGGTGCGGAAGTTTATGGCACACTGCGACGTATGTCAGCCCGTTAAGCATCCTAACAGGGCGTACGAGATTGAAAGGATATCTCGTTCACCAACAAGGCCGGGAGAGTTACTGACCGTGGACCTCTATGGGCCACTCCCCACAGGCCGTGGTGGAGTAAAATATTTGTTGGTATGCCTGGAATTCTTTTCTAAACATGTCACCCTTTACACGCTAAAGGCAGCCACTACTATGAGTTGTCTCAAGAAACTCAGGGAACACTATTTCCAAAGTGTAATTAAACCTGAGGTGATACTGTCAGATCACGGATCGCAATTTGCGAGTCCAGCATGGCAGAAAGCGCTAGCTGACTTGGGCATACAATGTAAATACTCACCTATTCGACACCCAGAGAATAATCCCACCGAGTGCGTTATGCGTGAATTGGGAAAATACTTCAGAATTTACTGCCACGAGACGCATAAGAAATGGCCAGAGCTCTTCCCTTTCATTGAAAATTGGTTGAATTCCTCAGTAAGCTAATCTACGGGGTACGCTCCCATAGAATTAATAAGCCAGAGTCCCAGACACGATCTTTTTCGGAAAATCCTGAAGAAGGAAGAGGAACAGTCGGTTAAAGAGGAGGCCTTAGCAGATAAAATACTTAAAGCATAGGCCCGTATGAAATCAAGGGCTGACAGGCGGAACGGACGACGGAAAACAGGTAGGACGAAATGGAAACCGACCCTACAGGACCTAGTCCTAGTCAAGTGTCAGCACGCCTCGGATGCGGCTCAAGGCACTACTAGCAAATTTCAGAGGCCCTACGAGGGACCTTACCTCATCCATCGAAAGGTTAACCCCTCCATTTACGAATTGGCGACCCCAGTGGGTAAAATTAGGGGAATCTTTAACATCAGACATTTGAAACCTTATTTGCAAGAAACTCAATGAAACCCGAATAACAGGCAAAATGATAAAAGTTAGAAGGTATATTGTCATAGCAATTTCATGGAGGCAGGCCTAGGCTCCCTGGGGCTGTAGTTCAAAAAAATAATGTCATAACGGGGACTAACTTAACCAATATCGAAAAGTTACAAGGACTTTGCTAATTTTGGTAGTAATTAGCTGAACCAATTCCGAACTATTATGACTAGAGGGGAGTACTAGTTATTGGCAAAAAGAAAACTTTGACACAAAATTGTTTCAGGGTGCGTGGAAGAGTGAGTGAGTGAGAGGGAAAACAAGACTATTTTACTCTGTAAAGGGGATGCTTGTATTGAAGTTTATACCACATGAACCTAATACTACGAGGGGGTACCAAAAAGAAACCGAACTTTTTTTTTTTAAACTTATTTATTCAAATTTTAAGCACAAACCTTCAGTCCCCTTCAAAGTACCCTCCACTTACACTAATACACTTGTCTAGTCTTTTATTCCATTTTTCAAAACATTGTCTAAATTCATCTTTTGAGATGCTTGACAGCGCCTCCGTCGTTTTTTTCCTTCACCTCAGCAACATCAGCAAAACGCTTTCCTTTCATGTCTCTTTTCATTCGAGGAAACAAAAAATAGTCGCACGGGGCAAGGTCGGGTGAGTATGGAGGGTGAGGAACAGGGGTCATACCATTTTTGGTCAAGAATTGTCGTACAGACAGGGCTGTGTGAGCAGGGGCATTGTCATGATGGAAAAACCAGTCACCCGACTGCCACAAATCTGGCCGCTGAGCTCCAAGTCACTCCCGACAGCTCCACAATTTCTTCAATGGTCCGTCGTCGATCTTCCTTGATGATTTCACGAATTTTTTCAACATTTTCATGTGTTCGGGCCGTGGAAGGACGACCAAAACGAGGTTTGTCATCAATTGACATTTCACCATTTTTGAAACGGGAAAACCACTTAAACACTTGAGTTTTCCCCATAGCATCGTCCTTGGACGCCGTTTTTAACATTTCAAGAGTTTCTGTTCCACTTTTCCCGAGCAAAAAGCAGAATTTCACCGCCGCACGCTGTTCATGAAAATCAGCCATTGCAAAAACGACGATCACACGAAACAGTTGTCACTATAAACTCTGCCGAAACTAGTCCTTACCTTCTGAAGCAACGGTAATCGGCTTATCGACTCAGGAATGTTAGCTCTATGGGCTCACAGCGGCAAAACGCGGTACTACAAAAGCTCTGCCCACAAAAAATTAGTTCGGTTTCTTTTGGGTAAACCATCGTATATTGTAAGGTCATTCTCTTAGGAAAGGAAAGAAAGAGAAAGTGAGGGAAAAGTGAGACGAAACATAAACAGGAGGCCTAAAGTTAACTAAACTGGCAACAACTAGCCAGAACCCAGTGGGTGTGATTAACCTCAAGAATTGTGAAGTGCAGTGGAAACAAAGAAGAGAAGCTGTGATATCGGGTGGCAAGGCCACAGATCAAACTGAATGAAAAGACACAAAAGGAAAATGATTGAACTAATCATAGTTCTTTTATAGCTAATAAATTTCTATGTAGCCTTAGCACCTAGGAGTGGCAGCAGTATTTAAGGATTTAGTTCAGTAAGTAAGTAGAAGAATAAGAGAGAGAGAGAGAAAGAAAGAGAGAGCAAGCAGGTCCAAGGATTAATGTTGTTTATTAGAATACTAAGAAGTTCATTACCGGCTACAAACGAATATGGAATCATTCTATTCCATGTCAGCAACCATATTCGCTTGGGAGTGTGTAACCCATCTGCCTACCCCAGCTCGATTTAATTTGGTAGAATGTTTGGATCCCGGTAAATTAACATGTTTGGTTAGGTCTACTTGTAACATACCGCAAATGGGCGAGCGGCACGTAGGCTATTTCTTCCCCTCAAGAAGAGTTTTAGCCCAAACTCTCCAATGAAAAAGACAATCAAAAAGAAAATGACTGGTCAAGGCAGATGCTGAACGAAAGAGAAAGACCCCTCGAAGCTTGGTTCTTTAGAATGTCACATGAAATTTTACTTGTCTGTATCCTTGGAGAACACAATAAGTGACAGTTTTGAACCCATAACTCAAAAGATGGATGGTCTCCCAAACCCAAGCCAAGCGTAACATTTGTCAAACTACTGACAGGTTTTACGTTAAGTTTTAGCGCCTAAATTCCCTGTAATCCCTAAACGGATTGGGGAAATACTTAATTAGTGTACTCCTATTTTTTGAAAATGACCAATCCTCGTAATTTCTGGAGATGACTTGTGGAACGAGGCGGCTCCGAGAGTTTCAAGGAGAAGGCATTCTGGAGGAGTCTTACTCAATATCGCGAACCCTTCGCACGCAAATCCTAAAAGAAGTCGTATTCCAGTCTCAAACGATCCGAACGCAAATTCTAAAAGAGAAGTCATTGGAAGGAGTCAGATTTAAGATAGCACACCCAGCGGACACAAGTTGAATGTAGTGCGTTAGTGGGGTCCACTATGGACAAGAGTTTAATAAAGTGTCTGGTGCAACAAAGTGTGTATGTGTGTGTAGTAACAGGAGTTCGCACTTCCCTTCCCGAGCGAGGCCCTGCCAAACGGCCTGAGGACCGAATCTCAGCTCTACCGGCAGAACTAGCTACCCATGACAGCTACCCCCCTATCCATCCTTCACACCTCCCATAAATCTGTAAACTGAACGTAGCAGTTTACTGGCGCCCAAATCAAACCCTTCCCCGAAAAGATCAGAGGTGTGAAAGTAGGATAAGTGAAGCAGGGTAAAGCCAGCTGTAGCCGCCGTCGCCCGTAGCAGTCCAGCAGCCAGCGGCCGAAGACCAACGTAGACCAACGGTGGGGGGCAGTTAGAACGTGGCGCTTCCATCCAGGGGCACCAAACAATAAGGACTGTAATAAGCGTGACGCTCGACGTAAGGGCTAGACGTCGATTATAAAAAGACGTAGTCAAACGGGTAGGCAAACGATTATAGACTCTGAAGACTTAGACGATATGATCCTCCGACACGTCTGCTGACTTTTAACGAACTATACGGCGTTATATCCCAGAAGACAGAAGTCTACCAACTCTCTGGAATTCCGCGAACTTCCTACTTAACCTAATCTTCGTACGTATGCAACATAATAAAGGGAATTCGCATGTATATTTCAAACTGCAATACATTAAGCCAATGCCGTGTACAAAATCCCAAAGAAGGCATTTGTAAGCTGAGAAAACCTTCTTGTTCAGACTACGCTGTCGCCATCTTCCATGACGTTCTGCGCACTGGAAGGTTCGAGTGTTATCTACGGCCGGACACACGCTTGCCCATGATGTACATCAAGGACTGCCTCAGAGCCCTCTGGGAGTACATGGTGACACCAGCCGCAAAGCTAAAGAGGCGGGTGTACAACGTCACGGCCATGAGCTTCACCCCGGAAGAGTTGGCTGCCACCATCGCGAAATACGTTCCTGAAATCAAGGTCACCTATCGCCCAGACAGTCGCCAGCAGATAGGTCAGTACATAAGATCTAAAAGTTTGTGACGATGGCGCATTATTACAAATATTCTGTTTCTGGACATTATCCATCGTCCTGTCTTTTTATCTAAAATCTGTCCTGTCTATATTTCAAAACACAACCTTTCGGAGAACTGGATTTTGTCTCCGTCTTCAGGTAAAACCTACTGAATTTGGCCCAATCGATAGAGCTAGACTGTGTTTCAGATAAAAACATGAAGATGGATAATGTCCGTAAACCGGTAGGTCAACCATCATTATCATCATCATGTCATGTACAGTGTAGGAATGGGACAATGGGCTTCTGGGATATGACGAGGTGTAGTTTGATGGCCTCCTGCCTCAGTCTTCAATTTAGGCGTGAGTTCTTGTACCCTGAACTTCGAAAAGTTCCTACCCATCTTCCTGACTACGCGGCAACACGTTCAATAAGAGCGTGATCTTAATATCTGCGTCCCAGGAAATCATAAACTTTTTTATTGCTAGTGGGGTGGGACTAAGTCTCTTGTATTGCGGCCACTTCTGGCCTATTGTACCAGCTCCAGATGATAGGTGAGGGTGATTGTGGAGCAATTGGTGGAATGAAGATTGTCAGTGGAAACTCGGAGAAAACCTACCCCAGAATCCCTTTGTCCACCACAAATCCCACTTGACTAGATCCGAGATCGAACCCGTGCCACCGGGGCGTGAAGCTAGCTACTAACCGCTCGAGCCATGGCGCGGCCAAATCATTAACTTAATGTACAGGATTATAGTTTTTTCCTTTCTCCCCTTGAGGTTACTGAAAAATCAAAAGTTAAAAAGTAAGGAATTATGCCACATATCATTACTAAAAACTAAAATAATGTTAAAAGAATATTCTTATAATCTGAATAATCTTAAACATCTTGAAAGTGAGTTAGTAAGCAAATTCTCTGGTTTAACACTATTGGAAAAGTAGCCCCTAAACTTCGAAAAGAAAACTTGCCGGCGTCCACATAAGCCATGTAATCTTTCATCAGACTTTGGTCTTATGGGTTGTCATAACCGAAAGGCCACAAATTAAGCAATCCATCACTTGTCCTGTCCTGAGCCAGATAAATCCAATCCACACCTCCCATCATATTTCTCTAAGATCAATTTTAATATCATCTTCCAGTCTCACTGATTGTCTCTTACCTTCAGACTTTTCTACAGAAAATCTGTACGCACTCACCTCTCCCATGCTTGCTACATACCCTGCCTACCTCATCCTTTTCGGCTTCATCATTTTAATAATATTTGAGGAGGAGTACAAGTTATGGGTCCCTCGTTATGCTTCTTCTTACCCCATCCCTCCAAAATTTAAATATTCTCCTTATCACCCTATTCTCAAGTGTCCTTAGTTTACGTTCTTCCCTTAACGTGAGAAACCAAGTTTCACACACAGAACACTACAAGGAAAATTACAGTTTATTTGTTGAGATAGGAGGCAATAAGACAAGTGATTTTAAATGGAGCTGTAGGAAGAATTCCCCAAATTTCATCTGCCTTAATTTCGTAATTAATCGAATTTTATTTGTTACTGCCATTGAGAAATATTTTTGTCATTTTCAAATGACATTCATCTTATGCTTCTGTCATTCATTCTTTTGAAATTACACCAAAACATGCTTCATTTTTTTCTATGCTTGCTTTAGGTCAACTTCCTTACTAGCCTCTATTACAGCTTTTGTGTAAGCCTTCTGCTTACGAGATTTAAAGAGTATATTAAAAAACGCAGACGGAGTACGGCATGTTTTACCTCACATCAGTCGGTGATCTGTCTGTTGGCAGCGGATTCGTGGCCACAAGTGTTCGACGACAGCGCCGCAAGAGAGGACTGGTCTTGGCACCATAAATACGACATTGACAAGATGGTGACAGCAATGATTGATGATATTAGGCGGCAGTACAACTGACTTTAAACACAGCCTGAAATTTAAATGTCTTCCAGTAAGTGAACTGTGGTTTATGAATATCTTAATGGAAGATTAACACGTAAGTGAACTTACTTACTGTATATGGAGAAATATAAATAAAACCTTTTCTTATCCCTAAAGTAAAGGTAAAGTTGTCCCTGTGCTTAACTGATTAAGCGCTACGCCATGAAGACGTATGGGGGAATCCCTATCTATGCAGTAAACCGCTGAACCAAAGAGGCAGGTTTCTCTGTGCCTGCTATGAACATATCCGAACAATGATTACAGGTTTGTTTCCAATTGCGTTTATTTTGTGTGTACAAATATGTCAAGTGATGGCACTGCTGTGGAATTTTTATGACGTTTTTGTGAATTTTTAGGTACTCTCGGGGGTGATTGTGAAGGGTGCTATCTCCTGGTATGTGACTCCGCGTATTTTAATAGAAGGTAGTAGACGTTTTGGAGGAACGTATTGACTCTATTCATGAACTGTTGCAACCACTTCTTAAAGTCACCATACATAATATTTATTACAATCCTGTTAACACAACTCTATTTCCAGCTGGTGGAGTTTGCTGTCTAGCACGACAAGGTTCCAGAGTGCAATAAATGTAATACTTGTAGATACTGCCTGTTCTGTCTCCATCTTCAAGGTGGAAGTGTAAGCTAAGCAGGGAATATCCGCTTGATATTTGCTTATTTATCTGCCAGATAGGCTGGCCAGCCGTGTGAAACCCGGCCAAATGCTTTTGGAGTAAAACCACAAATAAAAAAGAAAGAGGTATTAGAGATATGAATACATAAATTTGAAATTGCTCTTAAGTGGGGAGACTTCTGTGTATCAAGTACAGACCGTAACTTCTTGCGAGATCCATAGAAATGTTCTTAAATTGCTTATATTTAAGTTCTTAGCAAATTATCTGGCTTCTCCGCTTAAAGACCAGTTGCTTGGGGAAATAATCGCTGCTTATTCTGAGAATCATACAGAACATAAACGCATTGTATAGGGATTTTTTTTTAATGTTAACCCAGGTGTTACATGTAGTAAGCACTGTGTTTTGACGTGTTAAGCACACTGTAGATACACGTAAATTGTTGTGAGTCTACCTCTTGCTGCTGTAACCTGCTTTGGTTTCCATGGAAACATGTTTACAGAGCCATTGACTAGCAATAGCCCTTTCTTCTGTACCTACAATTCTGGCTTTGAGCGGATATGTCACAATATTAATAATGTCCAATATTCTCTGAAGTAATCGAAATTGTACTAGTTTCTGAGCTCTGCTATGTGGCTGTAGTGTACTGGTGATGAATCTTGGGTTCAAGGATACGACCCTCAGACGAAGCAGCAGTCATCTCAGTTGAAGACGCCAAATTCAGCGAGACACAAGAGAACACAAGAACGAAACAATATTAAATCAATATTGATTTGTTTTCTTGACACTGAAGGCATTCTGTATAAGGAATTTGTTCCGCCAGGACAGACCTTAAATGGAATACTCTGTTGCGTTGTTCTGAGTTGGATGAGGGGAAAAGTCCTGTAAACGTCCAGTCAAGTGGCTCTGCGCCCATCCACACGTCACTATTTGTATGACTTCATCGAAAATGTCATCCACCATCCTTCCTAGTCACCAGACCTCGCTCCTGTGATTTCTTTCCTATTTCCGAAAATGAAATTGAAGTTCGAGGGACAACATTTTGAGATAATTGAAGAGATCCAGGCCGAATTGCAGGACGTGATGAAGACGCTGACGCAAAATGACTTCCAACAGTGGTTCCTCTGGGATTGATGTATTAACGAAGGGGCTACTGCGAAGGAAATGGAGGCCAATAAATTTTCTGTAAGTGATTAAGCGTAGGCCGACGAATTTCGGGAACTTTTTGGTAGAACCTTGTGCATGTGGTTCTAACGATTTAATTCTGGGTCATCATTTACTTGTAGGATGTAACCAGTTTTCGGAGAGGGCTGCCTCGTAAGCTTAGGTATCTGCCTGCGTGAGACCCGTTCAGAGCAGCTTCTGCAAGTACAGGTGATGGAGTAACGTAAATAGGATGTTTTATAAGGTAAAGCTCTGGATCACAACTCATCATTTTAACTGATCGTAATAATTTGTCACGTTCAGCTGAACACAGCTATAATGTTTTAGATCGCTCTGCACTGTAGATACATGAAATGTCAGGTTATTGTAAATGATGTAGTGTGTTACGCGCGACGAAAATGACGGGTTCAAGTTCGGTTACAAACACTCCTTAATTGCACTTAAATACAGCACTACCGCTGATTTATACACACACTGGTCCTCTACTGCTACCACAATTAAAACGCAGGAACTATGACAGTCTCACTGAATTACACGCCCCCAATCCCACTGCAGTATAGCACACATAAAGTCTTCAATTCACAAGTTAACTCCTCTTCAAACACGAACTTCCCGTAGCTGTCTCATACCGAGAACTCAGAACTCCTCACTTATATAGCCGAAGGACGGACATCGACCAACAGTAAACACATATCACGTAACCCCTACCCACTGTTGCTGTATGACGTCACCGCACACACACTATCTGACGGCTACGCAGGGAACACTTGTCACGTGACGGCCACTTAATGTTGGTATGTGACGTCACCACTCCTGCGCCAGCTGCCAGACACACGGAAAACTTATCTTGCTCCACTGTTGGCGTGCGCGTATCGTGTTCACCGAGCTGTTGTCTGGCAACGCGTTGATCAAATACGCCACAATTATATATGTTGAAGGTTACTGTCTTTTCAAATTAGAGTGTTCAGTAGTTTTAATTCATTAATACTGTCACGTGTAGGGGTAAATATAGATAGGGGTTTGCATTGGAAAATTTGATTTATTGACACCTTATTCACACAACTCGGGTCTACAGTTCTACAGTCACTCTTACTGATTTGCTTTAACAATGGTTTAGATAATTCAAATTGTGTCGTACAGTGGGACGATTGGTTGTTTAGTAAATAACGAATCTGAATAGTTATACATATTATCCGTTATTTGCATCCAGACACCGAGTTATGTCACAGAATCGTTAGTCAGGATAGCTGAGTTCATTTCAGAGATTCGAACATGGGATCTCCCGAGTACGAAGAAGCAGTTATGAGTAAACGAGTAAATGTTCTGTCCCATTCGCACGTTATACGCTGAACGTCCCAGGATTGGTAGGCTCCTTGTTCATGTCTTGTCTAGGAAGTTTCCCCATTCAGTTCTGTGGCCTAATGCCGATATTTCGGAGGGACACACTATGTCCACACTTACGTCATCAGATTTATGTTCTTAATGTTGTAGCATCCTGTAGTATGTTGACGTAGCAGGTTCCTAGATTGATATCACGTTTCTGTCCTAATTTTATTTAAGGATGGGCGCTCAAGCATCCAGTCCACTTGCTAGTTTAATGGCTGTACGAAACTAGACCAAAGACTTGGTAGGTCAGTTTTCGTTCTAATGTTTTCAAGTCTTGAACAATGTGTCTTGTGGAAATAAATCTCATAAGCTTTTATATTATCTTCTTTCTCTGTGGTGAAACTCGGTAACAGAACAACGGCATCAGTCTAGCGCAGGATATAAAACTACGGTCCGCAGGCCGCGAGGCCCACAGAGCTCTTGTGAAATATTTCTAATTTATATCTACATATTTTGAACTTAAGAAGCATTTCAGCAGGACTTACCCGTTGTTAGTCAGACCGAGGGGGTTGGTAATGAAGTTGCTGAACTTGAGGAACAGAACGCTCTCATGCGGTTGTTACACGAATTGCAGGAGCGTGACTGAAATGCGAGTTTTGAGTTCAAAGCCCTGATCTGATATGCACAGACTCTTATCTGGGCGGCTGAGCAGCGTGTTGGCGCCTATTTCGCATGCGTTTCTCACTAAAACTGGTGAGAGGATAAGCAAATTGCCTCTACTAGAGTGAAATTGTGTTAACTGGATTTGGACTCTGTTGGTCCACTCCTGTGTTTTTTTTTTTGTTTTTGCCTGGTGTCATTGTTGAATTTTGGGAGCAGAACTTGGAGGTTTGTGTGCAAGTGAAAATTCCGAGTACTATTTCGCGGACGGAGGAGTAAGGCAGGTCTGTTCTCTGCACTGACATCTCCGCATTTCCCACTTCTGCAGTTTATACTGAAGGCTAGTGTGTTTGTCTCTCCGAATGTGTTTCGCCATCATTTTACTCGAAATTAAAAGATAATTCTGGAAAATAGGCGAATGACGAGCTGTCTGGTAACGCAGTCCGCAGGTTCTAAATCGCTGGTACCCAAAGGCTGAGATTTGGCACGGTAGTGATCTAGGTGAATCAATAAATATCCTGAAAATCGGCCTAAACATCATTTTAACTTCTCTTTATACAACATTCAAGTGGCTGTTCAAGCGAAATATTTTCCACCAAAATTATATGCGCATTTCTTACGTTCCCATTCCGTGTCAAGCCCACCGCAATTTCTCCAATTCCATTGCCGTGAAAACACTAAGTGTCATGTAAATTCCGAAGTTGTACAACATCCCCAGGAACTCAAACACTTGTGTACACATGTATAATTACGTTCGCCCTTGCCTCGAGTGTCTTTCCAAACACAATATTTCTGGAACTGAATCGCTTTTTCTCGTCAGAATAAAATGGCAAAAATTTCGTACATAATATGGCCTTTTGGAGAGAACCTTCCCCACATCCTTGCACATGATAACAGAAATAGATCAGGTTGTCGAAACGATGTCTTCTGTACTGTAGCGCACCATTATCATTCTTTCAGGTCCAATAAATTGCATTATCGCATGATTTTCAGGCATTTGTACAGCGTGTTCTTCCTTATAACAGGAGATTAATGTTTCAGAGCTCTAAGGAAGAAGCATGATAACGCTTATGTAAGGGGCTCCGTGTGCTGGAGGACCACCTCTTGTCAACTGTCCGCTACTGCTTATTGAATATGTTCACAGTTACCCCCCATACCTGGAGGGCATCTTCTCCATCCGTAACCTGAGGACGGGCCATGCCGTGGTAAAAAGGGACCCACCTAAAGTGGTCCGTGTGCTGGCACTGCAGTTATTTTTAATAATGTCACCTCA